ATAGACAAACTAGCCAAGTGTGGTAGTGTTTGTCTGTAGTCCCAGCTACTTGGGAGGCTGCTGCAAGAGGATTGCTTGAGCCTAAGAGATTGTGGTTGTTGTGAGCTATGATGTCACCACAGCACTGTACCTAGGGCAACAGAGTGAAACTCTGTCTCAAAAAAATAATAATAATAATGTCAGGCAAATGCTCTGAAGAATAACTAAAACAGAATAAGGGATAAAGAATGATGGGGGCACTATTTAAACAATGAGATCAGGAAAGGCCTCTCTGCAGAGGTAACATTTGAACAGATGTCTGAATGAAGTGCAGGAATGAACTATATTGACATCTGGAAAAAAGAGTACTTGGGAATGGTGAAAGGGGCATAGATGGCTGAGAAGTAAGGAGATCAGTCTCCTGAAGAAGACGAATGGTTGGGAGAGCTCCCAAAGACTACCAAACAGAGGCTTGAGTAGAATCAAAGGAATCTTGGTGAGCCCCAGTGATGCCCTAGCCACCCACACATCCTCAGTGCAAGGTCCCTGAGGAGGCAGCACAGTTTTGTGACACACCTGGCTGGGCTTTGGATCTCACTCAGTCTGTAACCACAAAAGTGAACCAAGCTAACTAGCCCATGTGGGCCTCCAGCCAATCCCAGTGAGTTTTGATAACAAAGGTCCTAGACCATAATCATCTATTGATTTCCATGAGGAGGAAGAGAAGCTGTGGACAACAGAGAGTTTCTGGAAAGGAGCTGGCCACTAGATCCACCAACCATAGCAAAGGGACACCCAACTTTCTCCCTGAGGGATGACAGCCCCTTCCCTGCTGCCTGGATGTCTGGACAGAGAGGTCCTGGGACACATAGCACCAAAGATCAGCTTTCATGCAACAAACTCTTGTCCCTCCCCTGTGAAAGAAGAGGCACCCAGCAGCACCACATCAGATTTCTTAGGACTGGAAAATCTGCCCCCCATTCAGAGAATTCCCTTTAGGTTAAGGGTGGAGAGACTGGGCCACACATTATTGGGGTTTGACATCAACTCAACAAGCTTGTGTTGAGCCCACTTTCTGCTGGGCTGTGTCCTGGATGCTTTGATGGATACAAGCACTTATAAAAGCAGGATTTTGCCCTTAGTGATTTGTAGCCCAAGAAAGGAGTCAATAAAGCAAAAGGTCAGTATGAGACTTTGAAAATAGAAGCTCAAATAAAATGTTATGGGAGCCCTCAGGGATGGAAGGATGAATTTGAGGTGGTTGGAACTTGGTGGATGAGGTGACTTTCGAGCTGGACTTTAATGGATGGGGAGAATGTGGACAGGAAGATCTGGGTAATGGGATGTATCCAGAGTGAAAGGCCTTGGCCATTGAGCTAATGAGATTGAATTTTATCCTAAGGGCAGCGGGATGAGATAGGGGTGTCGGTGAGGCACAGTGGAAAGAGTGCAGGTTTTGAAATTCCCCACACACAGATTTGAGTCTCAGCCAGGCCAGATTAACTTGGACCTGACAAAGCATGTTTCCTCTCCTGCCAGTGAGGATCTTGCCTGACCCCCACCTGCATGGGATGGTGGAACCTGATGGGAGTGCATGAAGGGCTTTGGAAGTGGTGGTCACATACTGTGTCCCCAAGGCCAAAGGTCTCCAATCCCTCAGCCTCTGGGGTCATATTAACACCTAGATGTAAAATGTACTAGTCCACAAGTCTCCTTCTCACCTGCAGAACTGCAAAATCTCAGGTCTCCTTTCCCACCTTCATCCTCAGTATCTTGGGACATCCTCAGGGGGCGCTTTGCAGTACTCACAGCCCCCTTGGGTCTCTGACATTCTCATTGCCATGGGCTATTCCAGGCCATGAGGCTGCTTGTTTGTGCTCCCTCAGGCTACTCTTTATACCATCGCCACTAATCTACCTCCAGCCTACTAGCCTTCCCTGTGAGCAGTGCCATCTCTGTGCCTCTCCTGCCAAGGTTCACCCCACTGCTGGCCCTCACCTCCCTTGTCCTGGCCTTTCTCCATGTTCCACCTTCTCAGAAGCTCTTACAGCAAAGCCACTTGTGACCCTGGGGCTAAAGCTCCTTGCATTCTTGTAACTTTATATGTATTTTCTCATTTACACACATGAAATGGGTTGTTATTATGATCTGGGCTGTGATTCAGGGCTCGTGGCAGTTGTCATCTGACTGGAGAACATGCATGTTGGATGGGTGCATTCTGATGAAAGCTGAGCAGGCACTGGTGCCCAGAGAGGGCAGACCCAGGTAGGGAGTCAGAGTGTCAAGCCTGGGTGGGATGAGAGTACAAAAAAAGAGGCATAGACAGGAGGGATCCTGAGGAACAACTTCTCCAATTCAGAATTGGGCCTTTATGCTTGCTTTGGATCAAAAACTCAAATGAGCAGAAGTCAGCTGCCCGAGCAGACCACAGTGAGACTCTGGGGTCTCACAGGTCCTCCAAACAACTCTGATGCAAGGACTCTTGGCCACTCAACTTTCCCCATCCTGAGTCATCTCTTTCCACTTCAGGTTTATTGCCAACAAGTTCCCGTCTCAACTGATGAGAATAAAGATAGTGGTTTCAAGATAAGGTGGAATCTGAGGGCAAAGGCAGGTGAAATCATCTTTGCCACCAAGGGCAAGGGAGGGACTTGGGGGATGAAACCAGAGGGCTGAATACTGCATGGGGACCATCCCAGGGCAGAGTCTAGAATATGGGGGAGGGATCCCATTCCGTTTGTTTTTTTCTGAGGCTGGCCCTTCAGCCTGGCTGATCTTTGCTTTAACATTAACTGCCATTTCAGCAGTGTTGAGTGCCAGGGACAGAAAGAACAAGGTACAGATGAGACTGGCTTTAGTTCTAGTACATATTTGAGTTAACTAATAGTTGTATGGCATTTAATTCTTTACTCTCCGTGAGGAATGTTCTGGGATCATCACAAACATTAAACCCATTTAATCCTCATCACACCCCTAAGAAGTTAGCATTATTATTACCTCTATCACAGGCAGGGAAACTGATTGAATGATGTGAAGTCACTTGCCCAGGACCACACAGCTAGTGAGTGACAGAGCTGGGATTGAAACCCAGCCCGACCGGCTCCTGAGTCGATGTGTTCCTAGGCTTGTCTTCAGAGGCCCTCCCCTACCTAATCTTATTTGACCTTCAGGGTGGCTGATACAGTGCACAGAGGAGGCGAGGACCTTTGAGGTGGCACTTCCTAGGCCTCTGGTCTCAGGGAGTAACTTCATCACCAGTTCTGGAAAACGGGAGAGCAAGAAGACAGGGAAAAAGAGAACAGGACCTTCAACAGTCACAGAATGACTCTTCGCAGTCCTTGTCTCTGGCTGTCCTCTGAGGCTGTGGGCTTCTGCCCTCTGCTTTTATTCCCGACAATGGAGTTCACTGAGCCTTCTCACTCATTCTGACTCCACCTCTTCAAGAAGTCCCATGGAGGTCTTCTTTTCCTCTTCAAAACAACCTATTTTTTTCATTCTTGAATGGATTATTGAAATCTGCTATCTTTCTTTTCTTTTTTTTTTGAGACAGAGTCTCACTTTGTCACCCTCAGTAGAGTGCCATGTGTCATAGCTCACAGCAACCTCAAACTCTTGGGCTCAAGTAATTCTCTTGACTCAGCCTCCTGAGTAGCTCCTGTAGGAGCCCACCACACCTGGCTAGTTTTTCTATTTTCAGTAGAGACGTGGTCTCGCCCTTGCTCAGGCTGATCTTGCACCCCTGAGCTCAAGCAATCCACCCACCTCGGCCTCCCAGAGTGCTGGGATTATAGGCGTGAGCCACTGCGCCCATGCAAAAGTTGCTATCTTTCAACTTTGTGGACACAAACAGAATTTAAATGCATTAAAAACAAAATCCAAAGGAATGGGCAGTTTGCCTCTGGGATCCTCCAGGCTATGTGAGAGGACCTCTGTCTACAGGTTCCATTTGTCTTTTAAAGACATTCCTCTCTGGGACATTGCCCTCCTTGAATCCAAAGAGTTAGGGTTCTAGAGAGCATTTACTAGGAGCTGCCTCGGTGCTGGTGCCACATGCTGCCTCTGACGTGGTGAGGTGTGAAGACAGGCTGGCTTCAGCTTCTTTACTTCCCTCATAGGGGGTCATGCTGTTTAGCACTGACCCAAACTGCAGTGTAAACAAAACTAGAAGCCGTGGCAGGAAGGGCATTTCCAGGCATTCGTCTTCTCAGAGCACCCTAACTCCCCTTTCTGAATCTTTTTCTCTTTTCAGTAACATCTCCTGACCCTTCCAAATAGGGGCATCTTTGGATCTTCCATCTGTTCTGTGTGTGAATGGCCCTAATAACTCGGGTTTCCCAGAGTGTAGAGTGTACCGTTCAATGAGACTCCCAGGATCCCAAGGGAAAAGCTGTTGGCATTTTTACAGTACGGACTCTCCCGAAGGGATTCACCTCAGCTCAAGAAAGTAACTCTCCAGCTGCAACCAACTTCCCCAAGGGATATGGAGGGGCTTCCCAGGCATACAGAGAAAGAGCGGGTGCTGGCTTTTTCTGAGACAGGCTACCTCCGAGAAGGAGGGAAGGGGTGCAAGTATCCAGCCCAAAGCAAAAGCAGAGCTATAGCCAGAGCCTAGGATGGGGGAGCTAATGGGAAACAGCTTGCTGGGAAGAGGGGGTCAGAATTTGTAAATGGCTAGGGCTGGACAGCTGAAGGGGAAGCTGGGAAAAACAGGCTGATTGAGCCCAGCTGTTATGCCTCTGTCTCAGGGATCTTTGGACTCTGCCCGGGGCGGGCTCACACCCTATCTAGAAGACTAGGAGCCTTGCACAGTCTTCCCTGGGGCAGTTCAAGGCTCGGCCCATACTGGCTCACAGAGCTCTCAGAAACAAAACACCAGAGGGGCTGGACATCTCCTTCTCATCACCAACTCCCTCCCTCTGCCTGCTCCTACACAGGAAAAGCCTAGAGGAAGAGGCCAGGGAGACAGCCTTCCCTCTCTCCCCAATCCCTTCATCCTCCCAGCACTGGCATCTGGAGACCCCATGGCCCGGGCTCACTGGGGCTGCTGTCCCTGGCTGGTCCTCCTCTGTGGTATGTGCATCCGGGCCTGTCCTGGAGAGCCCATCTGCCTCCCCTCTGGGCTCAGAAAGGGTTGGAGTAGGGCTGGGGGCTAGGTGTCTGTTTTCTTGGTCTCCCTGTCTGTCTTGGAAAGGATAAACTTCAGGGCCAGTCTTTGGGACCTTTGCCACTTGGGTTGAGTTTGGTTTGACAGCTTTCCATTTCCTGCTGTTAAAGAAAAAAGTATTATAGCACTTGTTAAAATGATACAGAGAACTTTATTCAAGACTACTCCAATAGGGCATTATAATAGGAGAGAGGTGTGGGGGACAACTCCACAGGCAGCAAAGATCTCTGGGGATTTATACCCAGTGAGCAGAATGAATGGGTTAGTGAGCAGAAAATTACTAAGAGGAGACAAGAAGGGCAAGGGGGATTCTGGCTAAACCAACTTAATAGGATTCTTGCTGAAAGCAGGCCAGCATGACCAGATATCAAGGACAGGGGGTTCTCTGAACTGACTTAGCAAGATTCTGCCACTGCAGACCCAGCAAGGGCAGGACAGATGCAGAAGGCCAAGGTCAAGATGGAGACGAGAGTTAGGGGGAATCTAATTAAAATTTGATCAGTGAAGGAGTCTTTCACCCCTATAGTGCCCCATTTGTCCTCAACTAGGTGCCCAGCTCCGTGCCTCCATCCCAGCCTCCCTTCTATTTGCTGTCAGCAGGACCCTGCTCAATCACTCAGTGCTCACTTTCTGAGCACCACCCCAGTGCCAGGCCCTGTGCAGATCTTAGTGTCCAGAAGGACATGAGTTGACTATGTCCTGCTTCTTATGTGGACATCTTAGTGCCACCATTTTGCCAAAGATCCATTCCTATGGAAACGTATATTCATTTTCTTAAATGAACAATACGGGTCACATCTGCTCCTTAAGTTTATGAGACCAAGACAAAGCCAAGCATTCATGGTGTTAGACCCCAGCCACCCTCCTTCCATCTGTGGTTCAACCCACTCAGAAAGTTAAAGTGTATTATCTTCCCCAGACTCAGGCCCCCATTTCTCTCTAGGGAAATCCCCCCTAAAAGGCAGGGGTGTCAGAGGCCAGGAGTATCAGAGACCACTGAACTGTCAGGGAAGGGACTTCATATGATCCAATCTCTCTTATCCAGAGGCTTAGAACCTGGAGGACCTAGCTCAGTACCTGGCACATAGTACGTATGCACTTAGGAAATGTTTGCTCCAGCTGGCACAATGGCTCATGGCTGTAATCCTAGCATTCTAGGAAGCCAAGGTGGGTGGATTGCTTGAGTTCAGGAGTTAGAGACCAGTCTGAGCAAGAGCAAGACCATATCTCTATTAAAAATAGAAAAACTAGCTGGGCATTGTGGTGGGCACCTATAGTCCCAGCTTCTCGAGAGGCTGAGGCAGGATAGCTTGAGCCCAAGAGTTTGACGTTGTTGTGAGCTATGATGCCACAGCACTCTCACCAAGAGCAACAGAGTAAGACTTTGTCTCAAAAAAAAAAAAGGAAAAAAGAAAAGAATGGCAAAACAATAAAAATTTTAACAAAAAATAAATGCTTGCTGAATAAATATTGAGTAGCTGTCCTTGAGTCACACCAGATTTGGGGCAGAGCCCAAATTGGAAACTAGGTGTTATATACTCTGTTTCTTCTATGGCCACCACCCTTTCCAGGCCCACCTCCCATGCTAGGAAGGATGGGAGTACAGAAAGGACATCCCGCTCTTTTGTATTAAAATGGCCTGGGTTCAAACCCCTCTTTACTATTGACTTATGGTGGCAAGATTTGGGCAAGTTACCGAACCTGTCTGGGCCTTGGCTTCCCCCTCTGCAGGAAGTGAACAATAATACTCGCCTCATAGGGCTGTTGCCAGTATCAAATGAGATTCTATAGATCAATTGCTGAGTTCATTAAATGCTAAGCAATCTACCTTTTTCTGCCAGGTGATGATGTCAGACTGAGAGCTCTGTCTTATGTACTATTGAAAATGAGACTGGAATGATAGAGATTTAGATGGTAAGAAATGGTACGAGTAGGCTTTGGATTTAAGTAAACCTAAAGTTATATTTCTAGGAGACTAAAACTAAAGTGGGAGTGACTATTTAATGAGATCCTCTAGAGCATTCAAAGAAAATTTGGTTACAAAAATTTAATTTACACACAACTTTTCCACTTCAGCAGACCCTGAAAGGACCCAATTAGATTAGACAAAAAACTTGATTTAATGAGCACTAAAACCATCCAAAAGTGGCAATCATTTGTCTATGAAACAAATTTCTTTGATTGTGACCCAGGGTGACATCCAATTCAGCCTGATTTCCTATGAAATGTGATTATTTTTATCCTCAAGTGGAATTGGCCAGCACTGAGTGTTTCAAAGGATGGAGGCCCTGCGGAGTGGAGGAGGAAAGCTGAGGGAAGATGTCCCTGCACTCTCTAAGAACTATCTGGTCTCTAAATGATCACAGACTTTTCTCCTGGCTTCTAGCTTGTGCCTGGGGCCACCCAAAGCCAGCAGACCTTGGAGAAGAGGATGTGAGAAACTGTTCCATCAGCCCCCCGGTGAGGTCCTGCTCCCGCCCTGCCCCCTCATCCTCTCCATCCCCCATTGACTCATTTGCTGGCCTCTCCCTTCACCAGGCTTTCTCCTAATTTCTGGACTCAGGGGTTCCTATTTCTTATTAACTTCTATTAGGGTGGGCAACATCCTCTCAGGTGTCTAACACCTCCCCCCTTCCTGCCTCCTTCCCCCATCCCTCCGCCCTCGGTGCCCTCCCTTCCTGACCACTCATTCCCACAGCACATTATTTGCTTCTGTGATTTGCTTCTGCCCCTCCTGGGCCTGGACAGCTGGAGGGAAGAGGGAGGAGGGACAAGGGAGGAGGGAAGAGAGAGGAGGGTGAGAGCCCCCTAGCTGGCTTTTGGGGGAGGCTAGGCAGAGGCAGGAGGAGGATGGGAGGAAAGAAAAGACAATGGTAACAGCAAAGAGAGTGTGCAGGAGAGAGGAGGGAAAAAGACAGGGCCAGAAGAGCACAGGGACGGGCAAGAGGGGGAGGCCCAGGGTTCACACCAGTAGGTTCAGACCGGTAGGTTGGAGCCAGAAGGAATCAGGTAACAAGCTCCTAGGTAGAGACCAGGCTGGTTCTTTGCACAACCAGAGATGGGCCAAGCAGGGCCTGTCGTGCCAGCAGTACCCTGAGCCACAGGGCAAACACAGTTTCTGTTAGCCGTGTCAACTTTATGGGCCAGGCAGGCGGGTGGGCAAAACACATGACTTTTATATTAAAACAAATGGATATATCGTTGAGTAGAAGGCAAAGCAAAACAAACAAAAACATGCTTTTCATTTTAAACATAAAACAGGCTTTAAAGAAATGTCTGGCTTGGAGAGGATCTTTCTGGGCAAAGTCTCAAACTGCTGGGGATAGTCATTCCCTCTCTTTTGCCATCTGGGACCGTGGGTGGCAACCTGTAAAAGCCCCCAAGGTAGGGTTGCCAGATCAAATACAGGACACTCGTTACATCTGAATTTCAAATAACAAATAATATTTTGTTATAAGTATGTCCCAAATAGTGCATGGGATATACTTATATTAGGGCATTATTCATTGTTCATTTGAAATTCAAATGTAACTGGGTGGGCATACTGTGTTTTTAGCTGCTAAATCTGGCAACTCTACTACAATGTATCTGCAGAGGGACCATTCCTGTGGCCCAGGGCTGGAGCTCAGGCCTCATTACTGTCACAAAGGGTCCTTCTCCAAGCTCTTCCACACCTCTATCTCCACTCAGCTTAGGCACCTTAATCTAGATGAACCCCTAACATCACTTGTTGCTCCATCCCTTCCCAGGCCAAGCCAGCCTAATTACCCCCACACCCTGCCTCAGGAGAGGCTGGTGGCTCCTCTGAGGCTGGAGGCCCAGGTGTCATTTTCTCTAAGCAATGTGTGTATCTGTTTGTGTGTGTCTTGGTGTCTTCCTGTCATCTGTCAGTACCTTCCAGTCACTGTGGTCAATACCACAGTGCGGCTCACAGCCCTCCGCCAGCAGTTGCAGACCCAGAATCTCTCTGCCTACATCATCCCAGACACAGATGCCCACATGGTAAGTAAGGGATGGCCCGCCTCCCCCGACCATGGGTGGGCCTGTGAACACAGACCACAGTCAGGAGCTGTTAAGACTCAGAAAATGAAGGCAGAAAAGGGATTTTTGTTTCGTTTTGTTTTTCAGAGAAAAAAATTTAACAGGCAAAAGAAAGGAAGTGGAGAGCTTGGGTACAGTAGTTTGGGGGCAACTGAAAAAATGTATCCCTTTACATAGGAGGTGGGACATTGCCAAATGTCCTTGACCTCAAAGAATGAAAATATCAACAACCTCGGAATCAATTTTGATCAATTCCTAGATGGCAGCTCCAGAATGAATGTTTAGAACATCCCTGTCCTAGGAGGTTGGAAGAACTCCATGCTCCTTTCCAGCCCAGTCCTCCCCATGACTTGTAGAATAGAGCAGTGGAATGATCCAGAGTCTTGGACTATGCTAGTATGGGGTATAGGTTATGGGGGGAGGGCAAACAGGAAATAAGATGGTCTGAACAAGAAGTGCTTTTCCCAAAGCAGCTCCTCTGTCTACCATCACATACTTTCCCATCATTGGCTCTACCTCCACCCACCCCCTCTCCCCATCCTCCTTTCCAACACTAGCCCAGTGGGAAGAGAAGGCATTTTCAGTATCAATGAACTTGCTTGAACTTTCAAATTCCTGCTGGTAAGGGCTAAGATCCTTAGGTAAGTATCTGAACTTCTCAGAGTTTTAACCTTCTCTTCTGCAAAATGGGAATAATGAGATTTGTCTCTAAGAATTATAGGATCAAAATACAACAGCGTGTAAAGCCCTCTGCAGAAGTTATGTACGATGTACCCCGCATACTGTACTAGACTGTGGAGGGGGAGTGAAAAGGAGAACCCAAAGGAACCAACAGACAGAATCCTAGACTGCATGGAATTTGCATTCTGGTTGGGGTGACATGACTGCTTTTCAGAAAAGCCCAATGTACCACTGAGTCCAGTGCTAGACAGTGGAGTCTGGACTCCAAGAAATATAGTTGTTCAAAGTAAGGGAAGACACTGAGGGCTGGGGTGGGAGAGTTACAGAGGGCTTCTGGGAAATGGCGCCCAGTGTGTTTGGTCTTGTAGGACTGGCTGGAGCTGACTGACAGAAAGAACTGGGATGTGGTTGGAGTTCTTTTATGCAGGGTCTGACTCCACAAAAAGGCTAATGATGGTGTTTATTTCCTAGAACGAGTACCTTGGCACACCTGACAAGAGACGTGACTGGATTACAGGCTTTACTGGGTCTGCAGGTGACAGCCATCAATTACCCAGCCCTATCACTTCTGTTGGTATGCCCAGAGGTGGTCACAGAGGACCTGGCATGGAGAGTTCCTCAGCAGCCAGGACCCCAGAACCTACAGTCCAAAGGCCCCTTCTACTCTCTCTCTCTCTGCTTCTCTTGCACCATCTCAAAACCATCAGGCCAAACATCCTGTAGCCCACTGGCCACATTTCTGTGCAGAAGACAAATGATGCCCCTGGCTTCCTTCCCATGCTCATTGCCAATGCCACAGCCAGGCCCAGCCCAGCAATCCTTGGGCGCCATTTCTGAGATAGTTGCTACTTCCACATCTAGCCACTAAAAGGGCCCTCTGATGCCCATCACGTGATGGCTCATTTGGGCACAAAATTTTACTTTGCTGGTCCTTTTATGGACAACATTACTTGCATGACCAGTGAAATACAAGACATAGAGGACCTTGACAATGTCACAGTTGCTGAGGGCACCTCCCATCCTATTCTTGACACCTTGAATAAAATCCATGCTTCCCTCACTGATCTTCAAACGTTTCTCCTTGGGCTTGAAACTGCTGTGAGTTGCCCATCACAGGCCCTTCTACAAAGTCGGTGGTTTTTTTGTCCCCACCAATCCTCAGCTAAGCCTTTGAGTTAGCATCCCTATCAGCCACCAGATCTTGACACTGAGTCCCATCTTTCCTGAGAGCACATGCATGCAACATTGGCTCTTTCAGAATAACAAAAGCAGATCCCACCTCTCCTGCTGAAAGTCTTCATAGCCCCCTCAAGAGGCCCTCAACACAAAGCAGAGCTGCCTGATTCAGAATGCTCTTTCTGCCAGCTTCCCCTCAAGGCTCTTTTTAACATCTTCTGCCTTACTTCTTTCCCATGGAGGAGAGAAACCCTTTCCAGAGACCCCTTGTGACACTGTCAAAACTGGCACTATACTGCCCATCCACCAGTTAAGGCTGTATTTCTCACTTTCACCCTCACCTCCAAGTTTCTCTGTTCTGCCTCAGGAACCGCAGTGGTGACCATGGGGAAAGCAGCTCTCTGGACCGACAGTCGCTACTGGACTCAGGCTGAGCGGCAGATGGACTGCAACTGGGAACTCCATAAGGAAGGTAGAAGGGCCACACAGATTTGTTCCCCAAGCCCTGGAACCCAGACTAGATTCAGGAAGGTGTAGGTGAGGGGGTGTATGCAAAGGCCCTGCTGGGCCCCTCCAGGAAGCTTGGGAAATTTGAGGCCATCCCTGACCTTAGAGGCTGATATCAAGGAGAATACACATGGTCAGAGCCCTGGCTGGAGAGCCTAAGAGGCTGGCTCTAGAGGTGATCTCTGTGTTCTTTCCTGTCTTTCTCTTAGTTGGCACCAATCCCATTGTTATTTGGCTCCTCACTGAGATTCCTGCTGGAGGACGTGTGGGCTTTGACCCCTTCCTCTTGTCTATCGGTATGTTCTTCCCTCCGTCCCTGGATTTGTCCATGTAAAGAAATGGACCTTGGAAAAAGGGGTGGTAGGACGATAAAGACAGAGTATTTAAAGTTGTGGTTGCAGAATGTTTTGCAACAAGAATGTATTTATGGATTGTGTAATTAAAATATATTTAAAAGAACGAGTACAAATATTTTTAAATTTATGAGTGCAGAAACCGAACCGAGAAGACATAGAGCATCATTAAAATCTAGTAGATGAATAACCCCAAACCCTCCTCTGTGCTCTGAAAGTCTACTAATTATGGTGCTAGAATCAGTTGGTTGCCCTCTTCTGGAAAGTGGCTTAGAAGAGTCAGAGGAGCTGAGAGGGCTTCTGAGTAAAAAAATCACCCCTGAGAATATAGTTCCCTGAGCTCCAGAGCCCCAGATAGCTGGCCAGCCCACACCCCTAAAGACAGAGTCCTCATGAATGTGTACTAAAAGAACTGGCTTCTTTGCCAGCCTGTCCAATGGCCTGAACACCATCATTTCTCTGGACTGTGATATTGAAGCCCTGTTAAAATGGTTAGTACTGGAAAGAAAGACCAATCACAGCCATTGGCACTGAAAAAGACAAGCTAAGCCTATTAGTGGTGGCCAGCATTGGGGTGGGGGCTCAGGGCAGTTCTGAGGGGTACAACCTGGCATGGGGTATACTTTCTAGGAGGGCTGGGATGCTGGGCAGGCTCAGTGCGGCTGAGTTGCCAGGAGGAATGGGAGGCAGAGGGAATCAGTATTTCACTTAAATCTCAATTTTTTCCTGAGGTATAAATGGGCAGGGAACTAGTGACTCCTTCCTGTCTCTGCAGACTCCTGGAAAAGTTATGACCTGGCCCTCCAAGGCTCTAACAGACAGCTGGTGTCCATCACGGTCAACCTTGTGGACCTGGTGTGGGGGTCAGAGAGGCCCCTGTTTCCAAGCCAGCCCATTTATGCCCTGCAGGAGGCGTTCACAGGTGATTCCACAAGCCAGTTCTCTTTCCTAACTTGCAGCAACACAGGTCTGGCTGCTGCTCTTTAGGCTGAAAAATTCATCATCAGTGGTATCAAAGCGATCAATGGCTTGCATACCTAACCGAGGTACCGTGGATGCTTGTTTAAACTGTGTGCATATTTCTAGGCCCCCTCCCACCAGGAATCTGAGTCCAAAGGTCCTCAGACCATAATTAGAAAATGCTGGATTAATGAGTGTTAGAGTTAGACGCAAGATGGAACAGGAGAAGGGGCAAAAAGGGAGCCAGAGAAAGATGGGGAAAAAATGCCCTTTTCAAAGGAAAAAGAACCTGCTGTGAGTGTCTTATCTAGTAGTGGAGACTGGTTTATACTGAATCACTTAAACTTCTGGGTACCCTGTGATGAGGAATTTAGTGAGATGGCTGGGGTCAGGTGGGCCTGGGAAAAAGGAAATAACTAAGTTTGAGGTCAGCCTATGGCACAGATTAGAGATCAGGTTTTGTTTGTTTTAGAGACAGAGTCTCACTCCATTGCACAGGCTAGAGTGCTATCAGGCTAGCTCATAGCAACTTCAGACTCCTGAGTTTAAGCAATCCTCCTGCCTCAGCCTTCCAAGTAGCTGGGACTACAGGTACCTGCCATAGTGCCCAGCCAATTTTTCCATTTTTAATAGAGACATGATCTTGCTTTGTTTGGCTCAGGTTGGTTTCAAACTCCTGACCTCAAGAAATCCTCCTGCCTAACCTCTCAGAGTGGTAGGATTATAGGCGTGAGGCACTACACCCAGCCTAGAGCTCAGGTTGTGCTAGACCACAAAGGAAAGTTAACTGATCCAGAAAAATCTGACATCAATAACCTTAACCTTATTGACACCTTCTAAATATGTCATCAAAGGACAGTATGCCATATGATTTTTGTAAGTCACAACTGAAATCCTGATCAGGACTAGGCAACTGATTATGAATCAGTGTCTTGGCTATTAACTACCTCATCCCCCCAGAAATTCTGAATGAGCCAGTAGCTGGATTCCTAGGGCCATTGGACAATCCAAGAAGTCCCTTTCCATATGCGAGTGCACACACATTTCTTGTTTGGAAAGGAATCAAAAAAACAGGAGGGAAATTTCAAAATAGCAGCTATGGTGAAACAAGTGAAAATTGTGTTCAGTTGTCCTTATCTGTTCTGAAATAACTTGCAGAATCATTCTTTCTGCATCTTTTCTTTTCTTTTTTTTTTTTAATTGAATGGTAACTATGTACATTAATGCACTAAATGCACTTCTGGGGTACGGTGTGGGGTTTTCACACACAATCCGAAACACTTCCATCAAACTGGTTAACATAGCCTTCGTGTCATTTTCTTTCTGCATTTTGACACCATTTTTAAAGAAACTTTCTATCCAAGATTGTTAAATCATAAATAAAACTCATTCAGACAAAGAAGGTCATAGTTATGCCAGGACAGGGAGACAATAAAAGAGAAAATCCTTCCTGGGATTGGGAGACAATGCATGGGTTTTGTCACTTCCCATAAGTGAGGGGATGCCAAGTCATCAGAAGCCGCTAGTCTTCAAGAAAAAGCCATCTGGAGTTTGGACTTGGAAGCCCAAGATCAGAGTTCAGCTTCAGTAAGCTTGTAGAGATGAGGGAGATTTCCTCCCCAGCCACTTGTAGGTTTTAAAGGGGGAGGGAGGAGTGCAAAGGACAGAGCATGAACAGTTAGCTACTCAAAGATACCTGCATGCATCAGACCATCTACATTTGGTTTCATTTGTTTCCTCAAAAGTTTTTCATATTCATGAACCTTGAAAACACAATTCCAGACGTGGTGCCCGTAGCACAGTGGTTTCGGTACCAGCCACAAACACCAAGGGTGGTGGTTCAAACCCAATCTGGGCCAGCTAAACAACAATGACAACTGCAATAAAAAAGAGCCAGGCAATGTGGCAAGTACCTGTAGTCCCCAGCTACTTGGCAGGCTGAGGCAAGAGAATCGCTTAATCCCAAGAGTTTGAGGTTGCTGAGCTGTGAGGCCACGGCACTCTATCAAGGGCGACATAGTGAAACTCTGTCTCAAAAAAAAAAAAAAAAGAAAGAAAGAAAAGAAAAAGAAAACATAATTCCAAGTAAAAGAAGCCAATGAGGGCGGTCCACGTAGTGTACAATTCCATTTATATGAAATATCCAGCCTTGGCAGATCCACAGAGACTAGTGATTTCCTAGGGCTGGGGGGAGGGGGAAATGGGAGTGACTCCTTAATGGGTACAGGGTTTCCTTTTGGGATGATGAAAATGTTCTAGAATTAGATAGCGGTGATGGTTGCACAACTTTGTCAATGTACTTAAAACCACTGAATTGTACACTTTAAAAAGGTTAAAGTGATATATTTTATCTTATGTGTATTTTACCACAAGAAAATAAACCTTAAAAATGCATCATACCCAAAGCTTTGCTTCACATTGGATAGGTTCACTTGCTTATATAAAGTTTTCTAATGGCATTATTTATATTCATATCTGGACCCAAGTAGGACCCTTAATGCTTGTGGCCTTCTTCCAGCAAATTCCTAGCCTTGCCCAGGAGCGGTCTCTTTATATGACTTGCAGAGGGCAGAGATAGAAGATGAAAGCTAAAGTCCTGGAACCGGATACAAGCATCCTAGAAATGACAGGCTGGGAGACTGACAATGTTAGCAAAACAGGGCAGTGCCAGTGTGCATTAAGAGTGTGGGCCATGCAGTCAGACAGACCTGGTTTCAAACCCAGCTCCACCCCTTATATCTATGAAACCCTAGACAAGTCACTTTACCTGTCTCTAAAGCCATAGTTTCCTTAATCTGTAGAATGGAGCAAGTAAGAATTAAAACAATGTTCATGAAGTGCTTAGCCTAGTACCCATGGCTTAGTAAGTACTGAGATTACTACAGGGGAGAGGCTTGAACATGGCCCCAGCCCCATCCCTTTGCCCTTCAACTAGGGCTACTCTCCTGATCTCTGCTTTGCATGCTTAGTTATCTATCAGAAAGTTATACAAAACTTAACAATTTACCAAGACGCCACTTGGCGTACTTTACAAATATTAAATATTTGTTTGATCTTCACAACAATCCTGTTGAGGTAGATACTATTATACTCCATTCCCATTTTACAGATGCACAAAGTGAGACACAGAGGGGTTAAGTAATTTACCCAAGGTCACCCAGCTACTAATGTCAAAGTAAAGATTTGGGCCCCGTCTGAGTCCAGAGCCCATGAAATTAATGACTACACAAGTAAGAGTTTGTTTAAAGAAAAGGTTCTACTGATTTCTTTTCCTAACAGAAAACTGTTACCCTAGGAGAGCCCTTCCAGGACCTAAGTACCAAAGGCAAGGTGTGTCACTTATGCTTTCTTCTGTCTCCTTCGCTTCTAGGGAACACTTGGCAGGAGAAGGTATCCAACATCCGAAGCCAGATGCAGAACCATCTCAAGGCCCCGACTGCTGTTCTCCTGTCAGCACTTGATGAGACAGCCTGTGAGTGTGGATTTGCAGAAATGGGTGGGCAACTGGGTCTCCTCAACACCTCAAGCCTCCTGGGCCCTGCAACACAGAGCTCTCCCCCAAACCACTATGAACCTTCCAGTTCCTGAGAGCTCCATGGCCACAGCCTATAGGAAGGATAAGGGGACAGAAGCTCTTGTCTACAGAAGGAGACCAGGGAGCCATGAGCAAGCTGGGGCCAGTCCACAGGCCATAGGAGGAATGGACTAACCACACTGGCAAAGTGTCCCTATCTCATTAAGGAGATGAGGACCAGCAAACACCTTCCAGCAACCTGGCCACTATCCCAGGGCACTCCCACGCTCAGCTTTAGCAACTAGTGTGACTCTACTTTGTCCCAGCATGGCTCCAGGCTTCTTGCATAATCCGTATGGCGAGCCTAGATATTCTGGGAACCCACGAAAGTGTGTGCATTTTTAGGGGGGGAGTAGGGTCCATAGCTCTCACTGGCATCTCAAAGATCCCCCCAAAGACTGAGAAACATGCAGAGCTAGATGATGCTCTACCCCTGCATGATTGCACTGCTCACAATCTCTTGGGGTCAAACAGCGAGGCAAGGATGTCAGAAATGCTTGTTCCTTGCAAAACAGCCTCAGATAGTCCCCATCAATTCTCTTCCCAGGGCTCTTCAACCTTCGCAGCAATGACATCCCCTATAACCCCTTCTTCTATTCCTACACACTGCTCACAGACTCCTCCATCAGGTACAGCTCCTCCTTGGCTTGCTGTCATGAACTTCTACCAAATTCCACCCTCTCGCTGCCCCACCACCAACCCTGCCGTAACATATAGTCTTGGGGCTCCCCATGGGTTTGGTGTCTGCCCTTGTAGGACCTGTTAGCTTTTCCTGACCCCTTGACCTCTGTTCCCATTGAATCCCAAATCTGTCTGCTTGGCCGCCTGGTGCTGGCATCTTTTTACCCCCAGGAGCAAAGAGACTGTCTGTCTCTACTCCTTTCTGTTGCTCTAAACAGATCCTTAGGCCCTCCTGGTCTTCCCTCCCCACCTAGGTTATTTGTAAACAAGAGTCGTTTTAGCTCCGAGACCCTGAGGTACCTGAACTCCAGCTGCACAGGCCCCATGTGTGTGCAACTTGAGGATTACAGCCAAGTTCGTGACAGCATCCAGACCTATGCCTCAGGAGATGTGAGGATCTGGATCGGGACCAGCTATACCACATATGGGCTCTATGAAGTGATACCGAAGGTGGGTTTGCAGGGCCTCAGCCCATGCCAGACACAAAACCTCCTCCAGGCCAGATAAATCTCAACCAAAACTCAGGTCCGAAGGCCCTCAGCCATTCAGTCACCTGATCAGTCAACAATTGTACAGTGACTTTCCTTTTAGGCCCCAGTGGGAGTAGATGAATGAAGAGGAAACAGGTATATCTGTCCACAGAGAGCTTATAAAATTGTTGAGGAGGCTAGAAGGAGTACAGGCCTGGCTTAACAGAGGCCTCAGAGTCAGCCAGCCCTGACATTGAATCCTAGCTCTGCCCCTAAATGGCTGTGCAATGGCCTTGGACAAGTGACTTAGCCAATCTAGACCTGTTTCCTCACCTGTAAAACAGCAGTAAGTCCCAAACTCATTGGAGTTGCTCTGTAGATATTTAAAGGAGACAATGCACATAAAGCCCAGTGGGCTGACACACAGCTGGCACTCAAAAAATGGTAGCTATTATGATGTGTATCGGAAACTTGCACTGTCAGACCGGCCCATCGATTAATGAAAGCCAGACTCTGATGGCTCCCAGAGCACTGATGGCATCCAGAGGCAGGGAATGAGCTGCCAAGCAGGGCAGTAGTAATCAAGGAGGCCTCCTGGAGGAAGGGAGGATAAGTAGTACATGGAAGACTAGGAAAGACCTGCTAGCCGGAAGGCACACAGAGGAGAGGGCAGCACCACAATAGGGTGGTGAGTCTCACCTCAGCTGGGGCTTCCTGTCAGTCCTTTGAAAACACCACTGTGCCCTGGAGGGTGCTCCCAGACCCCTCCTTGCCTCCTCCTACTCTCTGTCCCCAACAGGAGAAACTCGTGACAGACACCTACTCTCCAGTGATGACAACCAAGGCGGTGAAGAACAGCAAGGAGCAGGCCCTCCTCAAGGCCAGCCACGTAAGTCCACATCCAGGCAAATGTGGCCTGTGGGAGCTCCTGATCTGATGAGTTAGAAAGGAAAAGCTTTCCAAAGCAGTCTGAAGAAGACCCTCAATGAAGCAAAGAAGCAGACACCTGCGCTTTACCCCTCTCTCCCAGTATACTACAGTGGTTAGGAGTGTGGGCCCCTAAGCTAAAGTGTCTTAAGTTCAAATCCCAGCTCCACTCACTTCCTAGCTAGGTGACCTTGAGCAAGTCACTTCATCTCTCTCTCTCTTTTTGAGACAGTCTCACTTTATCGCCCTCTGTAGAGTATCATAGCATCATAGCTCACAGCAACCTCAAACTCTTGAGCTCAAGAGATCCTCTTACCTCAGCCTCCCAAGTAGCTGGGACTATAGGCGCCCACCACAATGCCCAGCTATTTTGTTGGTGGTGGTGGTGGTTTGTTTAGCAGGCTCAGGCTGGGTTTGAACCCACTACCCCTGGTGTAGGTGACTGGTGCCCTAACCACTGAGGTATGGATGCCAAACCTCTTTTTCTTTTTTTTTTTT